GATTGGAAAGAAGGATACCTGATCAAAATACCGAAGAAAGGCGATCTTAGCAAGTGTGAAAACTACAGAGGCATCACTCTTCTTTCAATACCAGGCAAAGTCTTCAACAGAGTATTGTTAAACAGAATGAAGGACTTCGTAGACGCCCAACTTCGAGATCAACAGGCCGGATTTCGTAAGGATCGATCATGTACTGACCAAATCGCTACATTACGGATCATTGTGGAACAATCAATTGAATGGAACTCACCACTCTACATCAACTTCATCGACTACGAGAAAGCATTTGATAGCGTGGATAGGAAAACACTGTGGAGGCTTCTTCGACACTACGGTGTGCCTGAGAAAATAGTCAACATCATACGGAATTCTTATGATGGATTCAACTGCAAAATCGTACACGGAGGTCAGCTGACAGACTCTTTTGAGGTGAAGACCGGTGTCAGGCAAGGTTGCTTACTCTCACCCTTTCTCTTTCTCCTGGTCATCGACTGGATTATGAAGACGTCAACATCTGGAGGGAAGCACGGTATCAACTGGACAGTTAGGACGCAGCTGGACGATCTGGACTTCGCAGATGACCTGGCTCTTCTATCGCACACTCAACAACAAATGCAAGAGAAGACGACCAGTGTAGCAGCAGCCTCTGCAGCAGTAGGTCTCAACATACATAAAGGAAAAAGCAAAATTCTCCGATGCAACACAACATGCACCAACCGAATCACGCTTGATGGAGATACCTTGGAGGACGTTAACACCTTCACATATCTTGGCAGCATCATCGACGAGAAAGGTGGATCGGACGCAGATGTGAGGGCGCGGATTGGCAAAGCGAGGGCTGCATTTCTACAGTTGAAAAATATCTGGAACTCCAAACAACTTTCAAACAAAACCAAAATCAGGATCTTCAATACAAATGTCAAGACAGTTCTACTGTATGGAGCGGAAACATGGAGAACTACCAAAGCCATCATCCAGAAGATACCAGTGTTTATTAACAGTTGTCTACGCAAAATACTTCGTATTCGTTGGCCAGACACCATCAGCAACAACGAACTGTGGGAGAGAACAAGTCAGATTCCAATGGAGGAGGAAATCAGGAAGAAGCGGTGGAAGTGGATAGGACATACACTACGAAAAGCACCGAACTGCGTCACTAGACAAGCCCTCACATGGAACCCTCAAGGCAAAAGGAAAAGAGGAAGGCGAAGGAACACACTACGCCGATAAATAGAGAAAGATATGAGAGTAATGAACAAACATTGGACAGAACTGGAGAGGGAAGCCCAGGACAGAGTTGGTTGGAGAAAACTGGTGGGCGGCCTATGCTCGATTGGGGGTAACAGGCGAAAGTAAGTAAGTAATATGGCCAATAAATTACCTTCATTGCACAGTTTTGAAGATTGTTGAATTTCATTGAAACAACGAGGCTGTAACCAGTGCAGTTCAATCCTATCGGGTGCAGGCAGTTACCTACCGAAGCTAATGAGTAGGGTTGCACAATATCTTGGATTGATCACAGTTAGACATTAACACCATTGGATGCAATCTCAATGGTCTAGAGGTTAATCGTCCGTGCGCAAATCGAAGGTCCTAGGTTCGATCCCTTCCAGTGGAGTCATGGATGTGCACTACTAATGAATTCCATACTAGGACGAAATGACCGTCCATTGCTTCCAAGTTTATAATGGTGGTTTAACGATGACCGATTCATCAATTCAATGGCAATGAAATATCGTTTAATAATCCAAATGACTTTAATTCTTAAGATGTCATTATTTACATGTTTGCCGAATTCTATATTGACTGCTATATTAAAATGAACACTTTTTCAGTGTGAATTATTAGAAACCTATCTATAGTTTATTAAAGTATATTTCACTCTGCGTTAAATAGTGACGTATAGTGTCGTATCTTTAATAATGTAAAGCCGATATCATGTCCATGTTGCCTGTATCACATCTGTAACATCTTAATGTCCATGTTTGTTTGTAATTTTCACTTAATGGGGGAATACAACAAACACATTGGTGAAATGAAAATCTATTGACTTTACAAAAAAAAATCACTTAAAAATGTCCATATTAGATGGAGATAAACTACCTTTGTTATTGAATTTTATATACACACACTTGGGATAAAAAAAACTTCCGCAGAATCACTGAAAAAATATACACTCCTACTGTTATTTATCTAGATTGATACACGAAATATGAATATCACATTGAAATATCACATTTATCCTATTTGAAAAAAAGTCTATACAGACGGCCGTTTTGTCCTGGTATAGGACTCATCAGCAATACGCATCCACGATTCATTTCGTCGTCATTCATCCTTCCATATAGATCATTCCATTTATTGTATATTTTACTTTTATTTGTCACATCAGTTTAATGACTGATCGATCAATTTTAGTGTGTTATATTATTTATTGATCAAGAAAAATGTAGCTCAACTCCAAATATATATCAACTTAAACTCAATCAGTCAGTCAGTCAGTAACAACGTAGAACTTCGTTTGTAAGTACATCAGTTCAGGTTGCCATACCACACATTAGCACAGAGACGCAACTGTTCCATAGTGGTGGAGATAGTAGAATAACAAGCGGTAAAGGAGAATATTAGGGATCGAAGATATTATTCAAAGATATTATTCAGTGAGATAATTTCACAAACCAAGGGATAGAGATGGTGAGGAGTTCTGAGGATTAGAATTTGAAAGAACACAAAGAGTGGATGCACCCACGCCTATGCAAACGATTTTGAGCCATATCGTTCAAGGTCTCTAACTATCGATGACTTTCTTCTCGCGGACCTCAACCAGGTAGCATACATCTGCCAACATGACTCAGTCCACTTGTTAGTGACTTCATGGATTTCTGCCATGTTTTGGTTTGGCCGCCCCTAACTTTCTTCCAATCTACTCCTACACTACAAAACAAAGCTCGTCGAGGCAGTCGGTGGTTGGGCATACGTAACACATGTCCGACAATAGTTGTATTCCCGGACCTAAAGGCGGCATATGACTCTGTGGATCGTGAAGTTCTGTGGCAGTGTCTGTCATTGAAAGGTGTACCAAAGAAGTATATTAACCTTACACAAGCTCTCTACTCGAACACAACTGGTCGAGCTGGAGCCTATGGCAAACTGTCATGGGAATTCCTTACTTCAAGTGGTGTCCGTCAGGGATGTCCACTCCCTCCATTCTTGTTTGATTTTTTCGTAGAAGTGCTTTTGGAGTTAACATTATCCTCGTCAGATTTTTTAGGGATAGACCTTCTACCAGGAGTCTCGCTTACTGACTTAGAATATACCGATGACATAGTTCTATTCAGTGAAGACTCCGACAAAATGCAGAGTCTTTTGATTACCCTAAGCAACAATGCAAGCATGTTAGGGATGAGATTCTCACTCTCGAAATGTAAAATGTTGCTTCAAGATTGGGTCGCATCGGTACCTGAACTAGTGATAGGGAGTGAAGTAGTTGAGCGCGTAGACCGCTTCACTTATCTTGGGAGTCTCATCAGTGCTGATGGCCTGGTGACTGACGAAATCTCAGCACGTTTACAGAAGGCTCGATTGGCTTTTGCCAACCTGCGTCACTTATGGCGAAGGCGCGATATCCGTTTGCAGACTAAAGGACGAGTGTACTGTGCAGTAGTTCGCTCTGTTCTCCGATACGGTTGTGAAATGTGGCCAGTAAGAATAGAAGATATCCATAGGTTGCTAGTATTTGATCATAGATGTCTTAGAAGCTCGTATATCCTGGGACAACCGAGTAACCTATGCTATCGTTGGGAAACGAGTACTAGGTAAGGGTGGTAGGTCAATAGATGAAGTAGTGAAACTTCATCAGTTGAGGTGGTTGGGACATGTGCTACGTATACCTGACCACCGACTGCCTCATCGAGCTCACTCAGTCAGTCAGACGCAACGTAACCTCGTCGAGCTATGTTTTGCGATGTAGGAATAGGTTAGAAGAAAGCTAGGGGGGATAAACCAAAACATGGCAAAAATCCATGAAGTGACTGACAAGTGGACTGAGTCATGTTGGTAGATGTAGGCTACGTGGTTGGGGTCAGGGAGATGATTATAATCGATGGTTAGACACCCTGAATGACATGGCTCAAAGTCGTTTGCAGTGGCGAAGGTGTTCTCTCAAATTCTAACCCTCTGAATTCCTCATCATCCCTATCTTTGTCTTTCTAAATTTATCTCACTGAACTATACTTCTCGAATCATATCTTCGAATCCTAATCTTCTCCATTACTGCTAATATTTCTACTGTTTAAAACTATGTGATTTGAACTGACAGTTGTGTCTCTATGCTAATGTGTGGTATGGCAAGCTGAACTAATATACATACGCACGAAGTTCTACGTTGTATCTGTCTGTCTGTCTGTCTATCAATAACCTCACTTATCTGGTAGAGAGTTCTAATACTATTCATAAAACTATTTATCAAATACTTATCGTGTATCCTTTAAATTACACACTACATGGGACGGTTACTAGTCTCAAACTAAAACTCAATAACTAAATAAGAGGCATTTCGGACTACAGTGGTCAACCGTTTAACTAAAGTAGATGGAAAATGAGTCAAATACAATTACTATCACTGTTAGGCACGACGAAGTTATACGTTTCAGCTGACTGACTGATTGACTGACTGACTGACACATGTCCTAATCACACCTCAACTGATACAGTTTCAATAATTGTAGTTGGTTAATTCAACTAACTCATTAACTAAGTAAGTTTATATGGTTCGTCATCACTCCATTATCATCACACTAAACACAAAAATTCTAATGCGGACCAATTCTTTTTTATTTTTTTTTCTTGCAACATTCATTATCAGTTCATAAAATATCAATAAATATATGAATTTTTTGATAGTATAGTTTAGTTTAATAATAATAATAATAATAATAATAATAAAGCATTTTATAGCATCATTGATAAATTTTAACAAATTCTAACAAAAAGAATGTGGCATCAATGTTCAATTTTTGAATTCAATGTTCAACTTGTGTTAAATTTTGTTGTTTTTTGTTTGTGTAACTTTTATTTCATATCATACAATCATTCTTGGTTTTGTTTCTTAATGATGCTCATTAGAAATGTTTGAAGATATGTTACTAAAATGGATATTGTCCATTGAAAGTTTAAGGTCATATTGTGTGATTCAATTCAATTATAATATAAATATATGAAATTTTATAGTCAATTCAATAGAGAAACAAACAGAGTACATTGTACATTTTCTTTCTAATATTATAATGGAAGATAAAAAAGCTATAGTGAAAAGTTTTGACATGTCAGATACAATGTTACAATTTGCTGTTGATGTAGCTGCTGAAGCTATGGCTAAATATACTGTTGAGAAAGATATTGCAAGTTGTATTAAAAAGAAATTTGATGAAACACATGGTACTACATGGCATTGTATTGTTGGTAAAGATTTTGGAAGGTATGTACACAGTTATATTATTTCTCAATAAGTGATGAGTTTTATGATAGATATATATACGTATATTTATATACTGAAATGTTAAATGACTTTATTTAAGATTTTCAAATCACGTAATTCTAAGCATTAATCAATACTGTTGGGGATATTACATCCCCAGTACTCGCTTGATATAAATATCTTTATTTTGGATTGTATTCATGGGCTGATCAGTTGACCTTGAGATCACATTTCCCACCAGAAAAATCCTTGGCTGTGATTGGTTATTGTGTTATTTTAGTATGCTATTCTGTGACTGTCCCAAGGACGTCTCTATAGTGTATAAATAAACGCAATTTGTGTGTTTGGATTTAATGTGGCCGGTTGGGTGTTTGTTGATGAATACACTTCCTACTCTATATCATCAAGACTTCGTGCTAGTAAGTACATTTAGGTCACGGGATCACAGTAGCCTACCTGGACGCTGGTTAATTGTTTTGTTCTCGTTATTCGACTTAGGTGAACCCTTAATAGTTTTAAGTAGTATACGTAGAGACGAGACATCTCACATATTGTACTCTTATTTGTTCATATAAAAATCGTTAGATTCCAAAATAAATCTTTTTGAATTTAAATAAACATTATTACTTATTACAAATAAGTCAGTAGTAACAGTGATAATGCTTCTTGATATGAAATCGATTCAAAAATTCATTGTTTTTTCCTCATTTTCAGTTTTGTCACACATGAAGATGGCAGTTTCATTTATTTCTACTTAGGAGATCATGCAATAGTTCTATTCAAGGCTGGTTAAACAAACCGTTTAAATGTGTGTGTGTGTGTTCAATTATTCATGTTCAATAAATATAATTGTCTTAATAAAGGATTATTTTCATTAATCTCTTATCAATTTAAAATATTTCAATGAACGAAAACACACACTAACTGACAAACTAGTGTAACGTTGAGTTAAATTAGTACAAATCATATTTAATAAAATGAGATACTTGCTTAATGTTAGATTATTTTGACGATAAAATAAAAATATACTCGTTGAGTACAGTTGATCAATGAATGTTATAGTTTGACAAAAATATTTTGATCACTATTAAGCTCGTATTAATTAGTTCGAATGGTTTTTTCATTGTTTCAATTCGTAGTTCGACTCTAGTTTGATCAAAAAAAATGTAGCAAACCACTTGTCCTATGGTTTGCTAACCAAAGGTCGAGTGTACTGTGCAGTAGTTCGCTCCGTCCTACTATGTGGCTATGAAACATGGCCAGTTACTGACTGGTTTTCGTTCATAGATGTCTTCGAAGCATTGCTCTTAAATCTTGGGACACCCGAGTGAGCAACGCTGTTATTAGGGAAAGGGTGCTAGATAAGAATAGAAGATCAACAGATGATGTGGTTTGTGCTGATGTGGTATGGCAACATGAACTGATTTACTTACGTACGAAGTTCTGCGTTGCATCTGACTGACTGATTAACTGATGCAGTAGTGAAACTTCATCAGTTGAGGTGGTTGGGACATGTGCTGCGTATGCCTAACCACCGACTACCTCGTTGAGCTATGTTTTGTGGTGTAGGAATAGGTTGGACGAAAGCTAGGGTGGCAAAACCGAAACACTGCACAAATCCATGAAGTCACTGACAAGTGGACTGAATCATGTCGGTAGGTGTCGACTACCTGGTTGGGGTCAGCGAGATGATTATAATCGTTGGTGAGAGACCCTGAATGACATGGCTCAAAACTGTTTGCAATGGCGCAGATGCATCCAATCTTTGTGTTCTCTCGAATCCTAATCTTCTGAGTTCCTCATCACCTCTATCTTTCTCTTTCTGAATTAACCTCACCTAATTATACTTTTTGAATAATATCTTCTAAACCTAACCTCTCCGATTACTGCTAATACCTTTACTACCTCTACTACTATTGAATTTGAATTGACAATTCTCTGTGCTGATGTGGTATGGAAACTTGAACTGATGTACTTGCGTACGAACGAAATTCTACGTTGCTGTTGATTGACTGATTGATTTACATAATAACTCTCTTCCAAATATGTTTTTAACCTGCCTCATTCCTGACTTTTTGATTCGATTGCGTTTATGATCATTGATTATGAAGGTGCTAGGCATAATAGCACCGTCAATCCCTGAATATCCGTGACATAATTAATGTTTTGGGGCACAGTTTTGGAGGTTCGCGTTTTTACACATTTGAAATCATCAATCAATCATTGTTAGACCACCATTAGAAACCTGGAAGCACTGAATGGCTGTTTCAGTCTGGTATGGGACTCCTCAGCAGTGCGCATCCACGACTCCTGCTCCTTGCAGGATTCGAACCCGGGACCTTTGGCATTGTAGGCGAACGCCTTACCATGAGTCCCATACCAGGACGAAACGGCCGTCCAGTGCTTCCAGGTTTCTAATGGTGGTCTAACAATGATTGATTGATGATTTCAAATACATAATTAATGGCCAACACGAACTGACCTGATACAACGAACGAAATATTATCAGTCTTTTCGTTGTCGTAGCGTTCTTTAGATATATTTACAATATTGTGATATTAGTTTTGTGTGCTAAAGTTTTTTTTCACATAATTATTCTGAAGGGTTATTACGTCAGAATTCACACCAAAACTCTTACGCCTCCCACTTTTTAGCTCATGTCATTCTGGTCTGATAATATCGAAGCCTTGTTATATTTTAAAGAGGCTGACTTCCGTAAACACAGAGTGAAAATCAATGTGCATAATTCCTCTGAGCAATACAGGCATTACGACACTAGTCTGACAAGTGCGGTACATCTAGAATGTTCATTAGTGATCGCCTAGGAAAGGTAGTCCTCAAATGTAAAGACATAACTGGAGGACAATGTTTAGACCAACCATTTCAAAACATCGAAATGTAACGCGGTACAGTGACAGGAATGTTACTACGCATGAGAGAGTTCAATTGTCAATAAACTTTTTTGACAAAAGCTTTATCAAACAACTCTTTCTACCTCAGCTTCTTCAACAGGTACACTCCGTTCTCGACTTATTTCGAAACAAAACCCTGGATGAACTGGCTGTATCTGTCGATCGCATTCTAGAGATCACCAGAACCCCTAGTGTTAAGTTGTTTTCTATTGAACTATAGCTACAGTCGACGCAAAACGAAGATACCAATCAGTGTACTACTTACTCCCGTTTTCTAACCCTTCGTCTTGATCATACAAGGTTCAAGATTTTCCAAAGTAGCCCATCACAAAAGATATCTGTTTCTAGACTATGACAAATGAATAACTCTAATTGATATTAGTGCAGCGATACCTAAGGTAAGTTTTGTATAAACTGAGGGAAACTTCAGTCACATCATCAGTGAGGAGTGAAATATTCTATAAACTATTCAATTGGAAGGTCAAACCATAAAATTCGCTGTTGATCTTATAACAATTTTTTAAAAAAAACCACTTTCACAACTGATCAATAAATTTGACAATGTGTAACAGTTGTTTTACGGTTTGTAATTTAACCAAATCTCAATTGAAAATAAATGCGATATAAGTCAGGATGAAAAGAACAATACTGATATCGGAATATAAGATTTAAAACATTAGGATGTTTATTATTTAATAACTCGTGTATTATGGGACAACCGTATAAGTAATGCTGCTGTTAGGCGTTATTATGGGACAACCGTATAAGTAATGCTGCTGTTAGGCGTAAGTAAGTAAGTAAGTGCTGGACGGATGTGAGACTTGGCCGTTAAGAGTAGAGGACTTTCGTAGGTTACTAGTCCTCGATCATCGATGTCTCCGAAGCGTTGCTCGTGTATCATGGTACAACCGAGTAACCAATACTGTCTTTAGGAAACGAGTTCTAAGTAAGGATGGCAGATCAATAGATGAAGTAGTGAAACTTCATCAGTTGAGGTGGTTTGGACATGTGTTACGTATGCCTAACCACCGACTGCCTCGACGAGCTATGTTTTGTGGTGTAGGTGTAGGTTGGAAGAAAGCTAGGGGCGGCCAGACCAAAACATGGTACAAATCCATGAAGTCACTGACAAGTGGACTGAGTCATGTTGGTAGATGTAGACTACCTGTTTGGGGCCTGCGAGACGAAAGTCACCAATGATTAGAGACCTTGAATGACATGGCTCAAAATCGCTTGCAATGGCACAAGTGCATCCATTCTTTGAGCTCTCTTAAATCCTAATCTTCTGGATTCGTCAGCACCACTACCTTTGTCTTTCTAACCTTATCTCACTGAATTAAACTTCTTGAATAATATCTTCGAACCCTAGTCTTTTTTATTAACATTAATACCTCTACTATCTTTATCACTATGGGATTCGATTTGATATTTGCGTCTCTGTGGTGATGTGGTATGGCAACCTGAACTGATGTACATACGTACGAAGTTTTGCGTTGTATCTGTCTGTCTAATCTAGTAGAAATAAAGGTATTATATCATTATAACATCTCCTTACCACTTACATTGGTACTGATACTTGAATTGATGAAATCAAACGAATTAAAAGTTTTGTTTTTATTGAATTGACTGCTAACAAGTCATAGAATTTCGACTTCTGTATATTGATGATGTTACGCGTACATAATGTTTGTCAAAACCACTGTCTGGGACCATTTTTGATGTAACTAGAAGTCGAGTATGAAGGGATGCGAATACGTATTTGAATAATGATCTATCTGTCAAAGTTTATGCAGCATAAACAGATCAGTTGTCGTAAGATCTATGCAGCATAGTGTGCTTAAACAGCAGACGATGTGATTGTTTGACTGAGAGCATCACTTATTAGTTTTCTGTTTATTTTCAATAACTAATCGAGGTCCATTTTAGAGAGTATGATTCATGTAAAGGGTTGAACTCCACTGGTCACATCTTCTTCTTGAGACCATAGGTCCTAGGTTCGAATCTTGACAGGTTCAGGAGTTATGGATATGCACTACCATTGATGAGTCCCATACCAGGCAGGATGAAACAGCCATTCAGTGCTTCTAGGTTTCTAATAGTGATCTAACAATGATTGATTGATTGATAATTTCAAATGTGTAAAATCACTGATCTTCATATCTGTAATTGAAAAAAAATCCTTCTCATTTATTCACTAAACAATTAGTAATGAAACTTGAAATTTTTATTTTAAACACGCTGTATTGCTTAATCAATAACTGTTCAATGTATGACATTCCTTTTTTAACTGTGACTTTATCATTTCAATCAATATGGTTTTTGGAATATTTATTTAATAAAAGTATTATCTACAAGTTGGAGAAAAAACTCATCATTTGTCATTTAAAAAACAATGAATAAACTTTAACATTTTATTAACTGCTAATTAGTATCTTCAGCATAAAAATAAAATATGGTCTGATTATAGTGAACTATAGAAAAAGATATCTAACTCATCAACAACCTACTGATGCATTTTGGCACAATTATTATTGGTTGTTTAACTTAATATGAAAAAAAGATATATACACAGATATTTTTTACGCTTGCTAAAAATATTCAATGACACGTAATGAGATAATCTTCAACAATGAACAAAAAGCGTTTACAGTCAGCCATACAATGTTCAATTAATTGAAAAGTCTAATTTAACAGTTCAGTTTAGTTATACTTAATGTAATCATATATTATAAATTCAGATGAGTAAATACTGAACCACTTACTTACTTATTTACGCCTGTTACCCTCAATGGAGCATAGGTCGCCGACTAGTTTTCTCCAGCCAACTCTGTCCTGGGCTTTCCTTTCCAGTTCTGTCCAGTTTTTGTTCATCTTCTTCTTATGCTTTTCTCTATTTCTCAGTGTAATGTGTTCCTTGGCCTTTCTCTTTTCCTTTGACCCTGAGGGTTCCAT